AGAGAGAGAGAGAGAGAGAGAGAGAGAGAGAGAGAGAGATTTGGCAACTTGATGATATGTATTTAATCAATGGAAAGACTCAGTTCCCCTGAGAAAAATATAGGAGCCCTGGTGATGCAGTGTTTAGAATGCAGTATTGCAGGTTAAGTCTGCCTACTGCCAGGAGTTCAACCCTAAACTGCTCAGGGTTGACTCAGCCTTCCATCCTTCTGAGATTGGTAAAATGAGGACCCAGGTTGTTGCGGACAATATGCTGACTCTGTAAACCACTTAGAGAGGGCCATGAAGCAATAGATGAGTCTAAGTGCTATTGCTATTGCGAGAACGCTGGGAAGGAAAGAGAAGGACAACCAGAAGCAAGGTTGATGAACTCAGTTACAGGTGTGATGGGTGTAACTTTGAAAGACCTGAAGGGACCTATTTAAGGACAAAACTTCATGGAGAAGTTCTTCCCACACAGTTTCTAAGAGCCAACCCGACGTGATGGCACCACATCATCAATCAATTAATCAGCCAACTCCAACGTGATGACACATCATCAATCAATTAATCGGTCAACCCCAACATGATGGCACATAATCAATCAATCAATCAGCCAGTCAATCAATATAAAGAACCAGCTCCCCTGAGAAGCCCGCAATGTTGGGAGAGGTGGAAGGAAAGAGAAGAAGACAATCAATAAGCAATGTATGTAGACTCGGTTACAGGGCTGATGGAATCACCATTCAAAGACTTGGTGGGACAGGGTAGGCACAGAGAAAACTTAACCGTGTGGCTGCTAAGAGTTGACCTTGATGCTATGTTGAAAAAATAGATCTTCCATTCCTTCCAAAGAAGTCTAATATATGTTTATAGGTGCCTTAGAATGGGCCTGATGTGGGCAGAACCACAGAAGAGCTGTGTGGTTTCTTCTAGAATTCATACCAAATGAGTCAGGGGACAGTGCCCCAGAATTAAAGAGGGGTTTGGGCTGAGAGAGAGAGAGGGAATGGCTCAAAGTCACCCAGCTGGCTTTCCTGCCTAAGGCAGGACTAGGACTCACCGTCTCCTGGTGATTGGGCCAAAGTCACTCAGCTCTTTCATGCCTAAGGTGGGACCGGAACTCACCATCTCCTGCCGATTGGCCCAAAATCGTCTCTTTCATGGCTAAGGCGGGACTAGAACACACCGTTTCCTCCTGGTGATCGGCACAAAATTGTCTAACTCTCTTTCATGCCTAAGGCAGGACTACAATTCACCATTTCCTGGTGATTGGCCCAAAGTTACTCAGCTCTCTTTCATGCATAAAGTGGGACTAGAACTCACCATCTCCTGGTGATTGGCCCCAAAATCGTCTAACTCTCTTTCATGCCTAAGACAGAATTAAAACTCACCATCTCCCAGTTTGTCACCTGGTGCAGTAACCACTAGATCAAACTGCTTCCTCCCTCCCGCAGATAAAGTAAAGAAAATTGTCAAACACCCAAATGCAGCTGGTGAAGTCAAGTCGAGATAGGTTAAGATTTCAGTTGGAACGGAGGGGAAAATTTATTAAATTGGGAAGAGAGAATTCCTGTTTAGCCAAGAATTGCGCGCGCGCACACACACACACACACCCATGCACGCACGCACACACTCTATTTCAGGTTGGGCTTCCAAGAATAGCTAAGTGTGGTATGCTTTGTCAAATGTCCACATAGTTGGAGATAGGGTTGTCAGATGGCTACTCAAAGTGGTTTCGCCCCATTTTCCACCCTCTTGATTGATTGATTGATTGTTTATTTTGATGCTTAAGCCTTCTGACTTCCGACCGACATTAATGCATTTTATTGATGACTTCTTTGTTTGTATTTTTGTATTTTATGGATTACCTGTTTACAGAAGGCAGAAAACATATTGCCATATGTTGGTGGTTTTGCAACCTTGATGTGGTGGTACAAAATCTGGAGGAGTCGAGATCTATCTATCTATCTATCTATCTATCTATCTATCTATCTATCTATCTATC